TGTTAACCAATGTCATAAAACAATATGTGTACTAACTGTTTAATGAGAAACTATTTGTTCTGTAAACCTTCATCTAAAGTACAATAAAAAAAAGATGTTAGGTAAAAAAAAAGGGTGCTTACAGTTAAAAGCCCTAAGGAGAAATACAAACAGACCATTTCTGTTAATCTTTCTTCACTTTAAACTTTATTATATGGTTTTGTGTCTGTAAAAGGTTTTGTTCTGGAAACTGAAACCACTACAAGTCAAGCAAATTAAAGAAACATTCAAAGTGATATAAGACCTCATTTATCTCTCTGTCCATATTTACCCATTATTTATGGGTAAAGCTATCTTGAATCTGAAAATAATTGGGAAGACAGACGACCACTGATTATGGCAAACTTACTGCATCACTGGCTGAATTAAAGAATTGTTTATTTTAACAAAATAAAGGTCACTTTTCAGAGCCAAATAAGAAACCTTGAATTGCATAATAATTTGCTAATTAAAATCTTTTGACTCAGTTGTTAAATTTATTTCTTAAAAAAGCCCTATCCTTGTTAATAAAGAACTGTGGAAACATCTAAAAAAAAATCAGCTGACCACAGATGTATGGATTTCTATCTGGACTGTCAGTTCTATTCCATTGGTCTATGTGACTATTGTTATACCAGTACTGGGCTATTTTGATTACTGTAGCTGTGTATCTTTTAAAATCAGGAAGTGTGTGACTCCTTCTACTTTGTTCTCCTCTTTCAACATTGCTTCAGCTATTTGGGGCCTCTTGGCATTCTGTATAGTGTTGAGGATTGGTTTTTCACTTCCATAAAGAAGGCTGTTGGAATCTTGATCGGAATTGCTTTGAATCTGTAGATCACTTTGGGTAGTACTGACAGCTTAACAATATTAAATCTTCCAATCCGTGAACATGGAACATTTTCCATTTAGTTAAGTCATCTTTAATCTCTTTCAGCAATGTTTTATAATTTTCATTGTATAAGTCCTTCACATCCCTGGTTAGATTTATTCTTAGGTATTTTATTCTCTTAGATGCTACTGTGAATGGAATCATTTCCCTAATTTTCCTTTCGGATTTCTCATTGCTGGTGTATAGAAACCCAACTGATTTTTTTGTTGTTTTTGACCTTGTACCCGGAAACTTTGCTAAATGCCTCTATTAGCTCTAGAAGTTTTCTTATGGACTCTTTGGGATTTTCTACACATAGGATCATGTCATCTGTGAATACAGATAATTTTACTTCTTTTCCACTCTAAATAGATTTTCTTTCTTTTTCTTGTCTTATTGCTGTGGCTAGGATTGCCAATACAATATTGAATAGAAGTGGTAAGGGCGAGCACCCTTGTCTTGTTCTAGAATTCAAGGGGAAAGCTCTGTCTTTCTCCATTAAGTTTAATGTTGTACAGTTAATTGATTTTTGACACAGGTGTCAAAACAATTCAATGGGAAAAGAATAGTCCTATCTACAAATGGTCCTGAGACAAATGGACAGCCACCTGCAAATGAAAGAGCTGAACATCTACCTAATAGTATATACAAAAAGGAACTCAAAATGGATCCACAATCTAAATGTAAGAGCTAAAATTATAAAACTCTTAGAAGAAAACATTGGATAAGGCAATGGTTTCTTAGATGTAATACCAAAAGCACAAGCACAGAAAGAAAAAAAAATTGTACCATTCTGCATTCCCGCTAGCAATGGATGTTGTTGTTGTTAGGTGCCAATGAGTTGATTCCAACTCATTGACCCTATGTACAACAAAACGAAACACTGTCCTTCACCATCCTCATAGTCGTTGTTGCAGCCACTGGGTCAATCCATCTCCTTGAAGGTCTTCCTCCTTTTCGCTGACCCTCTACTTCACCAAGCATGATGTCCTTCTCCAGGAACTGGTCCCTCCTGATAACATGTCCAAAATAACATGAGACGAAGTCTGTCCATCCTCGCTTCTAAAGAGCATTCTGGCTGTACTTCTTCCAACACAGATGTGTTCATTCTTCTGGCAGTCCATGGTCTAATCAATATTCTTCACCAACACCATAATTCAAAGGCATTAATTCCTCTTTGGTGTTCCTTATTCACTGTCCAGCTTTTGCATGCATATGAGGCAACTGAAAATACCATGGCTTGGGTCAGGCACATCTTAGTCCTCAAAATGACATCTTTGCTTCTTAACACTTTAAAGAGGGCTTTTGCAGCAGATTTGTCCAAAGCAGTACATGATTTGATTTCCTGACTGCTGCTTCTACGAGCGTTGATTATGGATCCAAGTAAAAGGAAATCTTTGACAACTTCTATATTTTTCTCCACATCCTCACCAACATCTGTTATTTTCCTTTTTTTTTCCAATCTTAACCATCCTAAAAACCCTAAAAACTCATGCCGTTGAGTTGATTCAGACTTATAGCAACCCTACAGGACAGAGCAGAACTGCCCCCATAGGGTTTCCAAGACTGTAAACCTTTATGGAAGCAAACTGCCGCATCTTTCTCCCACGGAGCAGCAGGTGAGTTCAAACTACCAATCTTTCGGTTAGCAGCCAAGTGCTTAACCACTGTGCCACCAGGGCTCCTTTAACCATCCTACTGGGAGTGAAATGGTATCTCATTATGGTTTTGACTTGCATCTCTCTGATAGCTGATGATGTCAAGCATCTTTTCATGTTTTTGGTGTCCATTTGAATATCCTCTTTGGTGAAATGTCTATTCAAGTCCTTTAGTTCTCACATTTAGGTCCTTGATCCATTTTGAATTGGGTTTTGTATATTGTGTGAGGTATAGATTCTACTTTATTCTTGTGCATGTGGAAATCCAGTTTTCCCAACATCATATATTAAAGACACTATTATTTCAACCATTGGATAGACTTAGCATCTTTGTCGAAAATCAATTGTCTGTAGATGTATGGATTTATTTCTAGACTCTCAATTCTATTACATTGGTCTATATGTCTATCCTTATACCAGTACCAGACTGTTTTGATTACTGCAGCTTTTTAGTATTTTGAAATCAGGAAGTGTGAGTCCTCCTACTTTATTCTTCTTCAAGACTGCTTTGCCTATTCGGGGTCCCTTGCCCTACCATATAAATTTGAGGACTGGCTTTTCCATTTCTGCAAAGAAGGCTGCTGGAATTTTGATGGGTATTGCATTGAATTAATAGATTGCTTTGGGTAGTATTGACATCTTAACTACATTAAGCCTTTCAATCCATGAACATGGAATGTACTTACATTTATTTAGGCCTTCTTCAATTTCTTTTAGTAATGGCTTATAGTTTTCAGTGAACAATTCTCTCACTGTGCTGGTTAAATTTATTACTAGGAGCCCTGGTGGTCCAGTGTTTAAGCACTCGGCTGCTAACCAAAAGGTCGGCAGTTCAAACCCATGAGCTGCTCCTTGGAAACCCTACGAGGTAGTTCTACTTTGTCCTATAGGGTCGCTATGAGTCGGAATTGACTCGACAGCAATGGGTTTTTTGGTTTTATTCTTTTAGATGCTACTGTAAATGGTATTGTTTCCTTAATTTCCTTTTCAGCTTGCTCATTGCTGATAGAAACCTGATTTTTGTGTGCTGACCTTTTACCCTGTCATTTTGCTGAATTCATTTATTAGCTCTAATAGCTTTATTGTGGAATCACTGAGGATTTCTATATATAGGATCATATCATTGCAAACATAGAAAGTTTTATTTCCTCCTTCCCGATTTGGATAACTTTTTTTTTCTTGTCTAACTGCTCTGCCTAGGACTTCCAGTACAATACTGAACAGCGGTGGTGAGAGTGGACATCCTTGTCTTGCTCCTGATTACATACATATTTTTATGGCAAAGAATCTTAGCAGTTGATTTGCTGGATTGGAGAGAATGATTATTTTAAGTCAATATACTTTACACTTAGTTTATGTCTTTAACACATCTGGAATTCATTATTTCATATGCTACTAGGTGGATTTTAAAAGCTGATTTTCATTTATTCATTAAAAATGAATTTTTTTTCATGATAGAGATATGACAATTATCTTTTACATTCCATGCTTGAAGATCACTATTAAATCATATCTTATCCTTCTATTTTCCAGTTTCATTAATTATCCTTAGATATCTTATTTTCCTAACCTTTAATTATCTTTTGAACTCTTCTAAGAACCCTTACAAACTTTTTCCTGGTATTTTTATTAATAACACACAAATATCTTACTTACAACAAGTTCCAAAATACCATCCCCTTCATCAGCATTTTCTATCACAGTGGCTCCAAATCCAAGCTCTCGGATGAACTCTGCTATCATCGGAGGTTGTATAACAGCAGGATTATATCTTACTTCTGCCTTGCCAGCCATCAGGGCTACGAGTACAGAATATATTCCTAGGGCCATTATAAGAAAAATCATACAGAGAACATTATTCTTTATAAAAAGAGTAATGTTATAATTAGTTTTTAGTATTTTTCATTTAAATGTGAAATGATTAAAGTGAATCTGCAGAAATTTATTACTTAAATTTTATACATCTTGAACCCAAACCAAACAAAACCATTTGAAAAGGATGCCTTATTTTAAAAAACATTGATTATGAAAAATTTCATTTATATATATAAAAATGAGAAACCAGCATAATAAATTTGATGTGCCCATCACCCAGCTTCAACAATTATCAATAAGACTTGGATAATCTTGTTTCATCTACATTCCTACCCACTACACTCCCTGCTCTCTACATAAATTATTCTGAAGCAAATCCCAGACATCATATAACTTCATGTGTAAATATTTAAATATGAATCTCTAAAAGACAAAGATTCTTCTCTTAAAAATAACCATAATACCATTATCACACCTAGAATAAAATAATTCCTTACTATCATCAAATATCCATGCAGTATTCACATTTCCACGATTGTCTTATAACTGCTTATTAGTTTAAGTTTGTTTGAATTGGGATCCAAATAAGGCTCATGAACTTCAATTGGCTGAGACCGTATCTTCTTAATATAAAGCATTTTTAGAAGCTAGTAAGAGTCCTAGAGAAAGGAACTCATGAACTTAGGAAATCAGTTACTGCAATTGCAGCAAAATATCCAAGAATGTACCAATATAGACACTGTATAGTAATCAAATAATACTCATTTCTTAAAATTCTGGCACACACTAATCTAAAAGGCTCTTATTCCTAGGGTAAAAAAGTGCCACATACTTGTTAACAGAACAAAAGAATTCATTTTATGGTAGCCATGCTGTTCTCTGGGAAAACCTTTTGTTAACAACTGCCTCGCTTCTAAAGGCCAGCTATTACTGTCATTGCCAGGAGTAAAATTAATTCCACATAGCAGAAATAGTAGCTTTCTAGGGATCTGTGGCATTTGGTGGCTACCTGACACGGAATGGGGATCAACAGTCTGTAGGTCAGCTCTAGAGTTTGATAAATAAGAAAAAAAATGACCAAATATTAATTTAATAATAAATTTTAATTTTAAAAAAGTACCTAATATAGTCTACGTTTTCTATATAAAGTTTTCTACAATCTGGGCTTTGTGGGTACCAAATAATTCAGGGAATCAACCCTTGAGAAACTGTCAGTAATAAGAGAAGGGTATAGAGAAAGTCAGAAAAAACTTTTTTGCTTCAGTTGAATGTAATCAACAGCCAAACACACAGAAATAGAAGAGAAAATCTGATTTTTAAATTTCAAAATTATAAGTTGAATATTTACATAAACTATAGATAATTTTTAAAAATTCTTACTTCAAACTATAATTAGAACTCTTCCTAATCATTTTTAGAAATATAATGCAGACTAAATCAAGGGAAGACCAGTGCTACCTAGTTTAAAAAAAAAAAATGAATGTAGTGACTCCAGCTAGGTTAACAGTATTCATAATTAGGGACAAAAGGTGGTAAAACCAGTTGCTGTTGAGCTGATTCCAACTCAGAGCAATCCCATGTATTGCAAAGTAGAATTGTGCTCCATAGGGTTTTCAAGGCTGTGACCTTTCAAAAGCAGATGGCCAGGCCTTTCTTCTGAGGCACCTCTGGGTGTGTTCGAACTGCCAACCTTTCGGTTAGCAGTTGAGCATTTAACTGTTTGCACCACCAGAGACTCCCTAAGAGGTGGTAGAGGGGAATAACTGGAAGAATAAGCTTAACAGATTAAAAAAGAAAAGATTCATAACTGGCACAGGTATTGCTTGTCTCATTAAATAGGTTATTTCTGAATTGCCTGAAAATAGTTGGCTCTCAAATTAAACAAGAACCTTGTAAGCTTCATTTTGCTTTATTTTGCTTGGCAACTTCCCTCTTTTTTTTTAATTTAATCAAACGAAAGGTAATATAAGCCTTAGTCTTGACTGCGTTCCAATTAGAAATAACGGAGGCTGAAATGAAATATGTAGAAATGACAGAATGTGGACATGATAATACTGAACTGAAGATGGTTCTGTATGCCATACATTTCGTTACAATGTTCATGCCTTCATATATAAGATGATGCTACTGGCCACAGGTATGTATTATTTACTAAATGCACTTTGAGTTATTTCCCCAATAATGAGGATAAGTTTACATAAATCCTTACTTCCTTATTCAGCCCTGTGACAACCTGAGGCTAGGGCTGCCTAAGTACCAAAACTATGACTTTGGTATTATTAAACATAATCACATATCTATATGGTTAATAAATCTACTATGCTATATTGTAAAGTCTCTAAGTATAAGTGAAAATTTATAGGCTAAAATGTTTAAGTGTAACAATAAAAATTGTGTTCTAGATTTTATAAGCTAAAATTAAAACTTGCATACAATACTAAGCAACTTTTGAACATCTTTACTGCAAAAGCACAAAGTAATTCTAAATAAATTTTGGTTCTGGTTTGATACTTCGTCCTGGTATGGTAATATTGAAACTCTGAGGGATTCTAACCCATGAAATCCATTGCCGTCAAGTTGCTTCCGACTCACATAGGACAGAGTAGACCTGCTGCATAGGGTTTCCAAGGAGCGGCTGGTGGATTCAAACTGCCAACCTTTTGGTTAGCAGCCGGGCTCTTAACCACTGATCACCAGGGCTCCGCTAGGATTCTAGTTATTAATTTTAAGCAAAGCTTTATTAGAAAATTTATCTTTCTTAAAATCCATTGCAACCAAGGTCCATAAAGAACAGTAATTTTATGTACTTCCTTCTGCTATTTTCCTACAAATTTCATTAATATTAAAATGTGATCGTGACATAAAAGTGATAGGAACTTCATCTAAGGGAACACAGCACTAACAAAAACTGGCTGTCAGGAAATCCAGGTTGTCCTGCACATCATACTTATTTATGAGGCCTAGGCAAGAATCATAAATATGGTTACAAAACACATAAGAGAACAAAAAGGATAGAATCCCCAAACCAGTACATGAATAACAGGCTTTAAGAGCTTCTCACCTTCCTCTCGTCTTAAATTTCGTTCAATGTTTGCTACGCAGGAAGCACAAGTCATGCCAGTGACCTGTATATAACACTTAGAAGAAGTCCTTGTCTCCTCTTTGTCATGAACTGGTGTCATAATTTTAGCATAAAATTCATTGGCTGAAGCCAAAAGTGGCATTTCCGATGAGGGCTGAGTTATTAATACCGATGGCTCATTCACGTCTGGTGGAAACGAAAAGAAGATTCATTTGCAGTATTGATCACCTCCAGCTACATCCTTGTTATTCATCAAAATCTACACCTTTAGGCACTGTCAATCCATTCATGTAAAACCAGCAAGGACCTACTTAAGCCCTCAGCAATATGTTATCTTTACAATTTCCAGGCACTGACCTCCAATTTCAATACTGCTCATCACAGTTCCCAGGAAAATCTGAGCTAAACTGAGTAAGTAAAACTTTAGTTAGGGACTTCTGGCAAAATGGCACTCTAGGCAGAAGCACCACGCCGTCCCTCCACAGCAAAGATCCGAACAACTAAGCCGAACACATAAAACAGCAATCCCAAAACCCTAAAACATCAAACGAAGAGATAAAGAACTCAGCCAAGCACCAAATGGAGTGATAAAACTGACAGAGTGGAGAGCGAGGAGAGATTCATGCAGAAGTCTTCTATCAGCTAACGCAGTGCGGATCCGCCATCTTGGACTCCTATTGGAGACCAGCAAACAGGGAGTACGAGAAAGCAGCTTCACAGAGCTTCCAGAGGGAGACAAAACAATCAGTAACTTGCGATATATGCTTTTGCACCCCCCACCCTTCTTCACACCCACTCGGCCTCCTCTGCTTCCTGCTGCCACAGTCTCTTCCCTGGGAAGCACCGGCTGCTTGCATTCCACCCGCCCGAATTGACTTGCTGTCTGAGTGCCATTTGTTGGCTGCTGGTGATGCTTTTTTTCCCCTTCTTTTGATTTCATCCTTAACTCTCACCACCTCCCCCTCCTTTTGCTCAAATACCTGGCTCCGTGTGCCATCTTTGCTTCTTCCTGAGGGGCTGTGGAGCTCCGGTAATTTGTGATATACACTTTCCTACCCCCCACCCTTCTTCACCCACACTCGGCCTCCTCTGCTTCCTGCGGACACAGTCGCTTGTCCGGGAAGCACCGGCCGCTTGGATACCACCCACCCGCGCTACCTGGCTCTCTGAGTGCCATTTGTTGGCTGCTGGTGTTGCTTTTTTTCCCACTTCTTTTGATTTCTTCCTTCCCTCTTACCACCTCCCCCTCCTTTCCCTCAAATACCGGGCTCCATGCGCCATCTTTCCTTCTTCCTGAGGGGCAGCAGAGCTCTGTTCGAGTGTGGAACTACTTCTCTGTCTGGGCTGCCACGCTGGTGGGATCCCGGGGCTTTTGTTTGTCTGTTTTGAATTGTTTATTTGTTTTCTTTTCCTTTTCTTGAGTTGGGAGCCCGTTCTGGCCAGGCGGTGCTACGTGGCTTCGAACCTACCCCCTTGGCATGCGCACACACGCAAAGGAATCCCTGAGGGCATTTCTTTTTTTGTAGGTTTTTTTTTAAATTTTTTTTCCTGTTTTTTTTTGGGGGGGTGCTTTTCTTGTTCTTTTATTTTAAAATTTGTTTTGTTTTCTTTTACCTCTCTTTCCCTTTTTGTCTTTCTTCATTACAAAGTTACTCGTCTCTCTATACCTTCCTTCTCTTTCGGTTCCCTGAATACCTGGTGCTGAATACCTCTATGCCTTCTAGCCAGGCTATATTGCAACACCTAAGAACAACTTCCCCACACCTCATACCCGCACTGGTGGGATCCCTGGGAACTTTGCTGCTCTTTTCCCTTTCTGGTTTTTATTTACTCATTCTTTTCTTTTCTTTTTTTTCTTCTTCTTCTCCTTTTTGTTTTTCTCCATTTCATAGTCTCTCATCTCTCCACTCCAAAGGCAAGCTCACCTACTATTCTTTTTTTGTGTGTGTGTGTGTTTTGAGCTCCTGTTCCTCTCTCCTCTCTCCCATATCCATCTTAGCTCCACCCATTACAATCTCCCCCCTACATCCTGCCTACCAGCACTGCGTGCTTAACATTACACCACCAAGCAGCACAGGCACGACCTACTGGAATATGCCCTGTACTGATTACCAACCCACCCTGGTGGCTGTAGTAAGTGCCACAAACAACCCACAACAGTAACTCCTCTTCAGCTTCACCTGCCCTGCTGTACCATATCTGAGCGACTGACACTGCCAATTGGAGAAGGAGGCGAAAAGCATCATGCCCAGAAACAAGCAAACAACAAAGAACACACAGCCCGCCTGCTCAGACACAGTCAAACAAAAAAAGGACAAAACAAACAAACCTACAATCAATAAACGAGAAAAATAACAACTGAATGCCCCGAAGACAGCAGATAATATCAAAACATTTACAAAAACAGGACAGGATGGCTCCAGTAGGCATCCAAAATAAAACACCAGATGACTTTCCAGTCGAAGAAAGGGTACTAGAACTACCTGCTGGAAATCCAAATCTCTAATACACAGAATTCTCCAAGAGTTGAAGCAAAAAGCAGACAAAAATGAGGAAAAAATAGACAAATTCATAGAAAATACAGACAAAAAATTGGAAGAATTCTGGAAAATAATGCAGGAACAAAATGCCAAAATAAATTCACAACTAGAAATTATACAAAAACAACAATTAGAAATCCAAAAGATAAACAACAAGATTTCAGAAATGGACGGTATCATAGAAGGGCTGAGCAGCAGATTTCAAATGGTAGAAGACAGGATCAGTGGAATTGAAGACAAACACCTGCATACAACTCTGTTTGAAGAAAACTCAGAAAAAAGAACAAAGAAAAATGAAGAGACCCTGAGAGCTTTGTGGGATACAATCAAAAGCAAAAATTTTTCAGTCATTGGAGTTCCCAAAAAGGGGGAGAAAACAGAAAACAAAGAGAGGATCATTGAAGAACTGCTGACAGATAGCTTCCCCAATATCATGAAAGATGAAAAGCTGGCCATCCAAGAAGCTCAACGAACCCCATATAGGACAGACCCCAAAAGAAAATCACCAAGGCATATCATAATGACACTCACCAAAACCAAAGACAAACAAAGAATCCTGAGAGCAGCTCGTGAAAACAAGAAGTCACATACAGAGGAGAAACAATAAGACCAAGCTCAGATTATTTGGCAGAAACCACGCAGGCAAGAAGGCAATGGGATGACATATATAAAACCTTGAAAGAAAACAATTGCCAGCCAACAATAATATATCCTGCAAAACTCTTGTTCAAATATCATGGTGAAATTAGGACATTTCCAGAAAAACAGAAATTAAGGGAATAAGTAAAATCCAAACCAAACTTACAAGAATTATTAAAGTGAGTTCTTCAGTCTGAGAACAAACAACTTCGGCTCACAGGCAGAATTTAGTATGCAGAATAGTACCAGCCAGATACCAATCTAGGAAATAAACTCTCAAAGACGATCCAAAACCAAAAGAAATACAACAAGGAATCAGAGCAGTTAATCAGTAAATGACAACAACAACAGAACACTAAAAGAGGGAATAAACAGTGTAGGTATAGAACCTTCTAATGGAGAGGAAGGCAAGGCGATACCAAGTAATAATAGGCTGCTTCAAACATAGAAAGTTAAGGGTAAATTTCAGGGTAACCACAAAGAAACTAAACAGACCAACTAATAAAAATAAAGACGAAAAACATAAAGTCTCAACAAAAACAAAAGAAATGAAAAAAAAAATCCACAAAAGTAACTCAGGACAGGAGAGTAAGAAGAACAACGAAAACATCAGCACCACAAAAAAAAGCAATACAAAATGACAGCAACAAACACATCTATCAACAGTTACACTGAATGTAAATGGACTCAATGCACCCATAAAGAGATGGGAGAGTGATGGAATGGATAAGAAAACAGGATCCATCAATATGCTGTCTAAAACAGACACACCTTAGAAACAAAGATGTGAATTTATTAAAAGTCAAAGGTTGGAAAAAAATATACTAAGCTAACAACTACCAAAAAAGAGCAGGAGTGGCAATTCTAATCGCAGATAAAATAGACTTTAAAACAAA